AAACATAAACTAAAGCCAGTTTCCTTAACACGTACAATATGAACTTGAAAAGTAACTTTAAGACAAAGTGCAAGAATGTATACCTGTTGTTTCAGGTGTATTTGTGTGTGGCCATATTAAAACATATGAAGCAGGAAATCATGCACCATGTACAGCAACAGGATCTGGTCATTTTTCTCAAGGTCAGTGTCTTAATCTCTTAGCACTGTATCAGATAGTATAATCTTACCTGTTGTCTACACTAAAAAATAAATTATCTAACACTCTTATACCAGTAAGGGTTTCATTTCTGCAGCCTTGTACATTTCAAGTAAGAAGAGAACCTTAAAGGTATAATAACTCTTCGTTTCGTCCAAAAAATGAATTTTCCTGGAGTAAACAACAATTTTCCCATACTTACCAATGGTAAATGAATCCATTTTTACATTCAAAGTTAGTCCCTGGTTTTTTTCTAAAAAGTTTGGTTTTTTGTTAAAATCTCTTAAGAGATTTTAACAGAGTATATCCATCAATGGAGGTCACGTGGTCTAAAGACAAGCTCAGATATCAGAAAAAATAGCTATAACTGCCGTTTTTGTGGTAAAACAGAATATATTACATTTCTATGAGTTATTCACAATGTTTTTATTGTGAAATATAGATCTCATACGAAGAGTTATTATCCCTTTAAGCATTAAAATTGCTATGTATGACTGTCTCCTTTTTGTTCTAGGAGGAACCAATCCAAGGATTTCGTGTTGGAGAGCACCTAGAATTTATGCAACAGCTGGAGAAGAAATTCAGGAAAACCATATTTTTGGACATGCAGAGTATCACAAAGCCTTGAGAAAATAAAGTTACAGAGCGTTGATCACTTGACTGAAAATGGATTTGGCATAAGAATCGAGTTAAAATGAAAACAGAGTTGACTATATTTAAAGTATGATTGGTTTGAGTCTTTAAGTCTTTGGCAGTTTTTTTTTATCCTGGTTGTTAATTAATTGTCAGTATTATAATTTTGTTTCAATTTAAGATGTTGAAGTATAGATGTTCTATACAGTATAGGTTCCCAATTTGAGAATATGAAAAACACAAGCACAAGCGCAGATTTCTAATACAGGTCAACAACTTGGGGTATATAAATTTATTATAGTTCTCCTCATGATGTTTATATAATATTATGCAGGTGATGGCATATAGGAGAAGTTAGATGGATTTTCTGTGTGACAATCCTGTGCAGTATGCAGTGGTTGATATAATGAACGTCTTGTATTCTGTGCTGATAAGAGTGTCATGTTCCATTATTTACACTGTAAAATTGAACTGGTGGCAGTCATTTGCTGCGTATTGTGCCATGCATGGGACTCTGTCAATAGGAAGTATGGTAGTTTTGGTTATTATTATTTTGAATGATGATTAGGTATAGCCTAAGGTGACCTCTTCAGCAATGAATGTTAGCATTAGACTTGGTGAAAATTATTAGCAGAAGAGAAAATTTGTGTGAATTGATATGTGATTAAAAAAGAAAAGCTTATAACTAGCTTGTGATAAAAATAGTCTGACCCGAAAATAGCATAGTCAGTGAAGTTAGTTCTAGACAATTTAATTATTTTTGCTGCACTGTTAAAGGTTGTATTCATATTTGTTGTGCTTGAATTTGTTTCATTATCATATAAAGAAGATTGAATCTTTTCTTTTTAGTTTACATAATTTTGATTTTTAGCTGTATATGTTATTATGGCTGTTGTGCAGCCTATTAAATGTCATTCCGTCCAGTAAACTTATTTTTTAAATGTGCAGTCGTCACAATATGAAAACATAATTAATACAAAACATTGAAATATTGTTCTTCGTATGTGTGCGTGTTGAATAATACAAATCTTGACTGACAAATAATTTTTTTTTTTTTTGAGACCTAAGAAACTAGGTCCCAGGACAAAAATTCTACTTTCAATATTCCTAAAATGGGTACATTTTTCAAAAATTAAATGTAAGGCAAAATGGAAACTAATCACTCATAAGTCCAAATATTTTTCAAATTTTATAAAGATCCCATATATTGAGTTTATAACGGAATTTAAGGTCCTGGCAACGATATTTGTCATAGCAGTACGGTCCAGCTCCAAATCACATGACAGTCACGTGAGACAAAATGGCCGAAGACTTCGGTGTTGTCCGCCTGAACTTTTTTAACAAGATCGCTGTGATTCGTTTGGTAAATGGAGATAACAAAATCAACGGAAGATTTGTTCAATCACTAAATAAAGCACTTGATTCAGTCGAGGGGTTAGTACTGCTTGATATAATCAAAGTAAATAAGACGGCGTCGTTTTCGATTTGGCTTGCCATTTATCATGCATCACATGTACATGTACTTGTACGCGGTACTTAGCAGTTTAATAAATAGTAAAAACTAATGTATAGTTAAAAAATCAAGGTACAAGTGTCAGTATTGTGTGTGCATTTCGTTATGAAGTTGAAGCGACTAACGATCATGTCATCATGGGGGAGGGGATACAAGTACAGTACTGTACATGTCAAATTTTACGAAAACGATTAAAACTTACCAATAAATGTTTCCTTTTCAGTAACCCTAACATCAAAGCTCTAGTAACCACAGGGGAAGGTAAATTCTACAGTAACGGCCTGGACGTCGAATGGTTCTCTTCAGTTGATGATAGGACATATATACAGTTTTTTCAAGATCTCAATGAACTCCTGTCTCGACTGCTAACATTTCCCATGCCCACTGTAGCGGCATTAAACGGTAAGCACTGACACCCAGACAGGGCTCGATAACATTGAAGTACTGAAGCAGTGGTGGACCTGGGGGAAGGGGGGAGGGGGCAGCAGCAGCATGCTTCCCCCATCTAATGTATAGTACATATATCTTCATAGGTCTTAATTCTTTTGCTGCGGTTTTGGCTTTACTGGTACTTGCTAGGTTGGAAAGATCGCATAATTAGCACCCTACATTGTACAATATATGTTTAAAAAAATCCTCTCAAGGCCACAAATATACGCATTCTGAGAAAAATCAGTTGCACCTTGTAGTTTACCATTTGCAGTTAAAGTCATTTTGTATCGGTTCATGCATTATATTAGTTTGAATCTACAATTTTAGCTTTTTTTATCTTTCTGTCTTTTTGTATCAGTCAGATGTCGGCTTCCGTGCCCTCAGTGGTAGTTAGCAATGCAATTTTTGAACTATTTTCCCCAGGCATTTATTTTATCTTGTTCTTATATCCCGCCCCAGGTCATGCCTTTGCAGGTGGCGGTATCCTAGCCCTGTGTCATGACTACCGCACTATGAGGACAGGAGCTGGCTGGCTGTGCCTCAATGAAGTCCATATCAAACTGAGATTCTCAGAATTTATAATGAGCTTACTGAAGTAAGTTTAGAAGAATGTCATTATAAAAAGGTACCTAACAACAAAATTTCAGTGTATGGAACACCAGGCGTTTCATAAGAGACTGCATACTCAGTGTGATAACAGATGGCAGTCAATGTTTTGTTGGTCATTGTGGACTACAAGTGTTATGGATTTGGAAATATCATATCATGTTGGCTATCCATTGAGTACCTTTGATATTGATTGTGTACTAAGAAAACTGCTAATTAATCAGTTAATTTGGCGCATTGTCATGACCTATATGTTTCATCTTGATAAGCAGTATATAAGCTAACTTCTTTTATTATGATAACTTTTGCAAAACATCTGTGTTAATATTTTCAGATCGAAAATATCTAGCCCAGTCTTAACTGAAGTGGCCATTCTAGGCAAGCGTTTCACGGCAGAGGCAGCCCTCGAGGCAGGTCTTGTCAAATTAATAACAGGTCCGGAAAAACTGATAGAGAGGTCATTGGAGCTGGCAAACAGTTTGGTCGGTTCTAAGGGATACGATCGTGTCACTCTTCAAAATATGAAGAAGGATATGCATGCTGCTGTATTAGCAGTGAAGAATAGTGCCATAAGAGGGAAGGCGGAATTTGAAGCTGTCAGAAAAAGAAATGCATCTAAATTGTGACTAAAACGGTTGACGAATCGTTTATCCTGCATTTAATATGAAAAACGGTGTTAAATTTAGTGAGTCGCTTATTGGGGTTTGTTTTGGGGCATTGGCATTTACTTTTCTATGTATCTGTATATTTTAATTTACTAAAAATGACGTATAAAAACTTGAGATTTTTTAAAGCTGGACGGGCAGTCGTACATGCGGGTTGAAGGCAAGTATCTAATACAAATCATGTTTGGAGTTTTTCTTTGTTTATAATTACATTTTACGCGTGCCCTAAAGTTTACAGCAGTAAAGTTGTTGATTGTTGAAACATTATTTTGTTATATATAGAATTTTATATTTGATAAAAGATGGACACTTTGTCAATATTTGAATCTTGCAAATCGTCTGATGTATAACAAAGATAAATAGCTGGTAATAACATATTTTATCATGTGTGACCGTTTTTATTGTTTATGCCTATATTTTACGTGAAAGCGATTAATTTTTCACCATTTTATATGCAAAACATTTGGTGTAACATCATGCATTGTGCCTTAAATCTCACATATTTTCTTACGTAGGCCTATCCGGTGTATCACTTAGAAGAGTTTAGCGGCGATGATTACATTTCTGAATTTACGCACACATTTCAATGTGACTATACTTAACGCTTCAGCAAGCAATTCCTCACTGTCACACAGTCATAAATTTGATGTAACATTATTGCTGAAATATTTATGAATAAATATACTGTAAAAGATTAAGCCAAATGTTCGTCTTGCATGTTGACAAATATAACGTAGAAGAGATTCACATGGAGGGTTTCATTTCTTCATTTCCGTTGTCAGAAAACTAGACTGTCGCCCGTATTCTATAAGGTCACTCACACTCACACTCATAGAATGCCACTTGACACTCAATGAGTGAAAGGTTTACCTCAGACTTGAACCTTTCACAGACCTCACTCACACTCATTCAAGTTATTAATTTTGAGTGATGGTTGAGTGTGTGGTACACCTCCCTCAACATTCACTCAGTTCAATGTTTGTTTACCAAAATGGCGGATGTGTGGCTAAATAGAATAGAAGACAATAATAGATTACAACATGTTGGCGGTCAAGTGCGAAGAGAGTACAATTTTGACTATGAAAAGTATACTGACGAGGAGTTCAGAAGACGTTACAGACTGACGAAAGACGCCTTCCAGGAATTGTTGCGTTTGGTAATACCAATGATAGCCCCTCATAATGAAAGAGGCAATCCAATCCCTGCAGATATACAGCTGCTACTTACACTGCGTTTCTATGCCACTGGCACCTTCCAGATGGCTTGTGGAGATCTCTGTGACATTTCCCAGTCATCTGCAAGTCGTATCATCAAAAGAGTATCAGAAGGTATTGCTTCGCTTAAACCACAATTCATACGGTTTCCTGAAGGACAAGAACTTCAAAATATGAAGCTAGGATTTTGGAGGATAGCCTGTTTTCCAGGCGTTGTGGGTGCTATCGACTGCACTCACATCAAAATACCATCTCCAGGTGGTGTGGATGCAGAACTGTACAGAAACCGGAAGGGCTACTTCTCTATCAACGTTCAGGCTGTATGTGGTTACAATTTGGAGATGTTGCATATCGTGGCCCTGTGGCCTGGTAGTGTACATGATGCACGAATATTTGACAACAGTCGTCTGTGTGCACAACTTGAAAGAGGGGATACAGAAGGTATTCTGCTAGGCGATGGGGGTTACGCGTGTCGTCTATATATGATGACTCCAATAATAAACCCACTTACAAGGCCAGAGCGTTGTTACAATGCTTCTCAGATACGTACCCGAAACACAGTTGAACGAATGTTTGGTACATGGAAACGCTTGTTTCCCTGCCTCAGCATGTCCCTTCGCACAAAACTACAGACCACTTTGACCATCATTATCGCCACAGCAACTCTGTATAACTTTGTAAGAGCCAGGAATGACCCCATGGATGAGCCACCTCCACAGAATGCACCGAACCAAGTTGTAGCACAGTTTCCTGTTCCAGCTAGAGGATTGGGCAATGCAGCCAGACGTACCATAATACAGCACGGTGTTGTTCTTGCTGCATTGCCAAGCATCGGGATTGAGCAGGAGTGGCCTGGGTTTTCCTGACCGGCGGAGTGGATGAAGTGGGTTGCTTTCCAGTCTCATCTAGATCTGTAATAGTGACAGTTGATGGAGTGGGTTCATCATCAACATGGCTATCATGTTGAATGTCATGCTGATCGTCGCGTACAGCATCTTGTTTATCTGTAATGAAGTATTGCAATAAAGTAACCATTTTACAGTTATACTTTGTCATATACATTCAAATAACTTAATAGTGTGCGGAAAATATGACAATCTATTTATACAGGCGATTACAATATCATCAATAGCAGTAATAATAAACAGCATTCTAGGTAACTACTACGAATAAATACCTTGCTCCACATTGTCATCATCATAGGGGTTGGACAAACTGTCGATCTGTGATGGTATAATGGCTGCTACAGCAGAGGCAGTTTCATCCGCAACACTACTTCGACCGCCACCAGTCAGCTTTGCTTCCCTCTTTTCCTTTGCAATAGACTTCTTAGCCCGAGATTTTATATTTTCCCAGCATTTTTTTAGTTGCTTGCTGTCCCGTTTCTTCACCCCACTTTGCGAGTTGAACTCCTCTGACAAGCTTTCCCATGTATCGTTTTTCTGCTTGATCATTTTGAAGTCATTTTTTTTACATTCCAGAACGGATTTGTTTTTGTCCACTAATTCAGTCAGTAGAGACTTCTCTAGCTCAGAGAATTATTGTCTGGACATGGTGACTGCAGTCAGACTGACTAAAGTGATGTGCACACTCAATACAAGGAACTATTACTCAAGTGTCACTTAACTGAGTCACAGTTGAGTGAGCTTAGTGAAAGTGAACACATGTATCATTCAATGAGTGTGAGTAGTCACTCATTTTATTGAGATCACACTCACACTCACACTTGAGTTACTCTTCAGCCACACTTGAGTGAAACTCAGTTGAGTGTGAGTAGAGTGTGAGTGTGAGTGACCTTATAGAATACGGGCGTGTATCCTTTTTGTTTTTTTTTCGATATGTTGACATTTTCAAACATGAATTCCTTTTTACTTCGAGTGAAGCCATTACGAGATGCAAGCATGATACTAAAAACCACAAAAACAAATGTCTGTTCTGCCTATTTAATTCACTGAAATTGAATACTTTCTATAAATTAAAATAGAATTTAAGTGATTTAAAAGCAAATATATTAAGTTACAATTTTAATAAAATGGTGATCATATTTACAAATAAAAGAAAACACTAAGAAATATGCTAAAACAACTTGATTGTCAGAAATCGGGTCCGAAGGGTGTGAACTCCCAAACCAGAAGCACGTTGAATAGGTAGATTAGTCCTGACATTTTCTTATTATAGTATTTCAAGACAAAATGCTCACTCAGAATAATATGTGCACGGAGTAATTATACCTCTTAGCTTTCATCGCCCCAAATGTGCCCATGAAATGTGATGTGGTCCAGTTACTGCACTACTGAATTCGCTGATTTTAGTGAGCACTATAAGACTGGGTTCCCATACATAGACCGATCCAGCTGGATCGATCTAACTTCCTGGGGAGTCTCACTAAATTGTTACCAACTAACCAGCTTAAATGTCTGTCACGCCTACCAAATCAGCTAGGGTGTAAATATGATTACCCCCTAACAGATTTTGCTCAATTCCATCAGCATAGCGTTGACAAACACTTGGTAAGCACGAATAGTATTATCCTTGTACTCGAGAAAGTCGGTAGTGTTCACCGCTGTAGTTTTATATTAATGGGCACTGCAAATGTTTTTTCTCTGGATTGCCGCTTGAACATTCTGCTTGATTTTGTGTCTATACACACAACATAGCTACCAAATCTTGGCACTAAAATCTTCTCCTTTCGATGGAAGACATTTTTCTTTTCAAAACTTGCATGTTTTCACCGTGACACTACTTAACTAAGATCAACGTGTAATAAGTTAAATAATACCCTTCAAGAGTAAAAAGAATAAAATATTTGTAATTATACCTCTTAGCTTTCATCGCCCCAAATATTTTATATATAAATATAGATAGATAGGAGATAGAATAAAGTGCAACTTCTCAAAACTTGTTTTACAAGAGGTTACAGTGCTTATGATCACCAGTTTGATATCAAATATCCTCCATTTCTATACACCCTGTCAATAATGTTAGAATTAATCCTGTATATAATTATCTTATTGCACCCTATGTATTATGGTATACGAATTTGCATAATATGTACTGTACAATATGTGCCATGGCTTTATGACTGCATTTAATAAAGATGTGGATATGATAACGCTATGCGTCGGTACCCTCTACTGGGGTTATATAGAGAATCTTAAACACTACCTATTCACAGATATGTCTCTTGCTTTTTCTGTGCACATTTCTCTGCGAGCGAGCAAAAGTGCCGTCATCAGCCGGCTGGCCTCTCGTATGGAGTATAAAATGGGGACAAATAATACTAGACTGTAATGTAAACTTTATATATACCACTTTTCTTACAAATGTGAAATGCTACAATTTTTTTTCGTCAAAAATAATACTTAATTTTTTTTTACAAATGACATAGGGCTTTCAGCTCATATGCCAATAATAGCTAAACCAACAGTTGAAATTCTGCACAAAAATAAAATATTTACAAGGTTTTTCTTTTAATTAGTAAAATGGCACCCGTTGTATTCAACCTGTCTTTCTGTACATTTTGAATGGACGTCCTGGCACTTTTAAATAGATACGTGTGTGTGTTCGTGTGTGTGCGTGCGTGTGTGATAGGATTAAATACTTGCATCCCTTATAAGTGCATTTTACAAATAATTAACAAGAATGCGATAGCCCACAAGATCGTCACGTTCCTTACCATTCAATTACTACGTTGATATGCCACCTCTTATCACAGCCTGCAATATTTGGCGTGTTATGACGTGTTCCACATAAAGTTATGACGCGTGCCACATTGTATCATGACGTATTACACATTGTACCATGACGTGTTACAGACTGAAAATACATGATGCATTCAACATGTAAAAATAAAACACTTGAACTTATATGGCTTCATATACAGCACAGATCCTCTCCCTTCTAATTCTTGTCAATCACACATACTATTTACCAAGGACTACCCATTAAATTTGTCTTCTGGACAATTGTTAATTCCTTCAATATCGGTTCTTTGTTTCTTCGATTGAACAGCGTTTCATTCATGGCAGTGAATTGGTCAGCAACGTTTTGAAAGCTGCGTTGGTTCCATTGAAGTCAAACCGCATGTGCAAAACGTGTAACACCTTCCAGTTTTTGCATGTTAAATTTATCCTTCCATTAAATGAACGTATTGGGCTACGCAGGATTGCATAGGTTGGTCAGAAGTTTGCACTGTAGTAACGTCATACTGTTCACTGAATTCTATGCTAATAACTGCATTTCTCCATTGAATACTATCTGTATTTAACTGGCTACTGATGCCATTGTTTTCGGTTTCTCAGTATTTACTCATGGTCAAACAACGTTCGAAATATAAAAATAAATTAATAAAAGCGGCAAAGGCAATTTTGAATTTCCCGCAATACTTGAATACCATCTATTCTCACTGTGCCGCAGCAGTCAAGTTCATTGGTTGTTTAGCCTTCTGCGTTGTCACGTGATTATCCTTGAGGTCAGTGACTCCTAGGCCGCGGTCAATGAACCTGACAGGTACTTCCTGACCCGGGGAGAGAACGCCGCGGCAGGTAGGTACCAGCGGAAAACCATCATAGGGCTCCAACCGGAAATTCTGTATAATCTAAATGGAACAATGTACCAAGAGATCAGCGTTTATCCATAGGCATTTATAATTTATTCCTTTTTAATTACTTAAATAAATAAATAAACAATTAATATTCTGATAGGAGATAAAGACAAATAGGAAACTAAAACGTTCTTAGCAATCCTGGTATTTTATTTTATTTTATTTTATTTTATTTTATCTTATTTTATTTTGTAGATTCATCAAATTTGCATAGATTAGTAATAAGGTTAAAAATAAAACGGATTTTGCAAAAAGATATTCATATTAGCGAAAAAATACAATGACAATAACATAATCATGAATTTACTCACCCTAATAAGAGCCAAATGCAACTCCAATAAAGCAACGCGGCGTCCTGCAAAACAAAATAACCAGATGCAGGGATTTGCTCACTGTCGGCCAATAATCGAACGTCTCTTTCCCCTAAGAATTTCATTCATTTTTATTTTCAGATAGTTTGCACCGTAAGGTATCAGAACCTGCTCGTTTTTAATGAAACTGGTGATGATATGAGCATCAAAGCTTTTGCTATGGTAACGCAGGGGTTACGTTGATATTTCAGAGACGCAAACAACCATGTATATTAAATATATCAAATACGTGAAATCAAAATAATTGCAAATGTGAAGTCTAGGAACTTCTCTTTGATCCACGACAATCTTACTTTTACAAAGTCATGATGGCGGTCGTGTTTTGCTGAATTTTGACTCTTGACTTATCTTGACTATCTGAACTATCTAATCTATCTTGACTATCTTATCTTGATTTTCCAAATTTTAGGTAGTAACATAGGGATAGGCAAATGTGAAGTATTTCCATCAATAAGAATAGTTTGAAAACTCATCTCTCTGCCTACAATGAATGTTAAAACCTGAAATCAAGATGGCTACCACAAGATATGGGTACTGCATTCTGCTATTCGGGCAAGGTTTTTTGTCCGAAATTATATATTTTATATTTGTGTTATACTGAATAAGAAACTAGGATCGTTTGAAATAATAAAGGTTAATTAAAATTTCACTGACCCACGACCTATTGACAAAATTGCCTTACAAAAAATACATAACAAAGAGAAAGGTAACCATATCAGGGCCGTACGCTGTGAAGGGGGAGCGGGGGGACTTACCAACACAGCTCCGTACGCCGTATCCAAAGGGCAGGACGCTGAAAGCATGGTGGTCGTGAGCCGTCTCTCGGTCCCAGCGATCAGGAATAAAATCATTTGCTCGCTCGAAATATTCATCGCTCCGTTGAACATTATAAAATCCCAGAGCCAGCAGACTCTGTAAATAATAACGATTTTTTCAAAACTCTTTAACTTAAGAAGTGATAGTTCATATAAAAATGCTCGATACTTAACGTTCATTTCACACAAATTTAAAAGACTTTAAACATGTAAAGCATCTTAATTTATCAATTTTTAAGTTTCCGTGAAGATGTTTAGTGAGTAATGCAGTAATGAGTTTTAAAGAACCTTAAATTTGTGTCTCAGGGATTAAGAGGTCTAAATAATAAGAAGAAGAAGAAGAAAGGAAAAAAACTGACTGTTGATAACCTTTCGTCAAAATAAGTTTCAAAAGAAAGTCTATTTAATTTCTATAAAAGAACATCGAGACAAAATCTTCTTACGTCTTTTGGGATGAGGTATCCTTCCAGTACAAACTCCTCTGTCACCATTCTGGCATTAATTGGCACCACGGGGTATAATCTGGAAATAACCATCATTTCATTTTGGGTGTTTGATTTCTTACCATATGTAACAGTAATGTTGATGTCAAAACTTTTATGTACCAGAGGTATTACCACCCGTTGGAGATATATGACACTTCGTTAATTGTATTCAATAACTCATGAAACTTAAAGAACTACCATTTGCCCCATTAAAAAAATTCTACGATGTAGCTTAAATTGTCCATAACTAAAACAACGCGTTGATTACCCAAATATGAACCATAAAACATGACTTAGTATCGCCTACCTGAATGTTTCCTTGACGACCTTTTTCAAGACAGGTAAATTGGGTATATCCTCTGCTGTGGCTACGCGACCCTTGAGAACACTGTCAACTTCCTGAACCAATTTTCTTTGTTCTTCAGGGTGGTTTGCCAGCAGATGGCATGCAAAACATATTGTATTGGATGCCTATAAATGAGAGAATCCTGTGATAAAATCGTACCGGATATAATGAGTATTTCAATTGGCGTACAATGTGAACAGTATACTACCTGCGTTCAATAATAGAAGTACCTGAAGTTCATATTTCCTTCTGAAATTTGCAGGAAAACATGGAGGTCTAAACGACTGGTCAGTCAAGCAGAGCTAAATCATTTACTTAAAGACGATATAAAGCACCAAATCCAAGAGCAGTGAAGAGTCGAGCAATGATTCTTGAGTGGATTTGTTCGGGGGATATTCAATGTGGCGGCATTGTCCGAAATAGGCAACTTCTAAATATTACATAGGAACATGCAAAAAAGAATAGAGGAAAAGAGCTTTTCTTGCTGAGTCCATTTTTTTTTATCCCAGAGAGCAAGACTTTTTAAGTGCCATCTTCCTCAGGATATTAGTGTGCAATTTAAGGGGTGACTCGTCAACCAAATGGTGACATTATAATGGGTATCATTTTGCAAGGGGGGGGGAGTAAAATCAAAGCGTCAGCTTCTTGGAATATGAAACAAATCTGTTTAAGTAAAAACTCATACTAATGCAGCAAAAATCAGGCCATTTACCAAAAAAGCCCATTATATTGTTCGGTAAATAACAGAATTACACATTGATGGGTTTCTCGCGCCTACAGCAATATCAAAATTTACAGAGCACAAAAGAGCAAATAAGAATCTCTTTTTTTCTCACCGTGTCTACCCCTCCTATCATAAGATCCACCATAGTGGAGTGTATTTCCTTAATGTCCATACTCCTTGTAGCCATCAGGTACGTCAAGAAATCCATGCCCTCGTCGGCATCCGGAGTCGTGTTCTCCAGCTTATCGGCTATCTCCGCAACCCGTGTGTCCACCAGGTGTCTCACTAAAAACACGAACAATATTTCCTTGAAGTAAATGCATGAACATCACTTGATTGGATTAATAATTTTTACAGAAAATCCCGATTTGGTAGTTCAAAGGAGACATAGAGATATGGAATATTTACACAGAGACACAATTTTCTGGTTTTGGTGACCATTGAGCTTCCTGGCCATATTTCTGGTCACACAAGAGATGTACAAAAGAGGTAGATCTGTATAAAAGGGGGCAAACATAGGAAATTCGTTGCTTTGAGTATTTTTCCATCATCATATGAATTTCATATCTTACCAACGTCAAACATGCCGTCCCAGGCTCTAATGTGATCTCGCCACCATTTTGTTTGGTATTTCTCCTGCAACTCCATCAAGACAAAGAGACGCTCTGATGTCACCAACATCGTGTTGACATTGTCAATGAACTTTTGCGTCATCGCAGGAATTTCGGTTTGGAGACACCCAAGTCTTTTTTCGAAGAGCACTTTACTTACAGCTAAAATCAACAGAAAAAAAGACAAGTTCTACTGAGGTTTTAATAAAGGCAGTAGCGCTGACCGATAAACATTTTGTGGCCTGTAGCGGCATTTCTCTTTTGATAACATGTTGTTGTTTGTCTATATATCAATGCATTTCACACATAAAAACATCAAAGACACCTGTTGGATGTACAGAATGGTTAAAGAGATAATAAATCTTCGTTTTGGCCAAAAATTGAATTTTCCTGGAGTAAACAACAATTTTAACAATGGTAAATGAATCCATTTTTACATTCAAAGTTAGTCCCTTTTTTTCTAAAAAGTGTATTATTTTTTTATAATCTCTTTCGCAGTTTTAATACTAATCTTAAGAGATTATAACACAGTATAGCCATCAATGGAGGTCACGTGGTCTAAAGACAAGCTCAGATATCAGAATAATAGCTATAACTACTGTTTTTGTGGTAAAACAGAATATATTATATTTCTACGGGTTGTTCACAATGTATTTATTGTGAAATATAGACCTCATACGAAGAGTTATTATCCCTTTAATCAGATTGTGTAAGTGATATCACAGGAGACTAGGCTTACGACATTCCTTTCCGTTATATAGCGATATGGTATTGGTGCATTATACATAATAATTTTTAAAAACTGAAGTATATCCCCCTAAGTGCGATTCACTTACATTCTATGGACCACTTGTACATTTCAAACGGAAGCTGCATTATTACGCCATCTTTTCCCGCCTTTTCTCGCATGTGCCGCATGTGCTTAATCATATCATCGACCACCTCATTGATAACGACGTCAAATGAAGCTGCAAGTTGAGGTTTTAGGAGGCGTTTCCCGACTGCCTTTCGGAATCGAAACCAATCGTCGCCTTCACTGCAATGCAAACATAGTCACTTCAGGTTTACAAAGATTACTACAAAGGTATTTAATGATCGTCCAGGAACGTACTAAAACGGAAAATTTAGGAAATTCTGGAGGATCTTTAAAATAGTGTTCTTATAGTTTAAGAATTATTTGCAAGATGGTAAGCAGTGAAGTATTGAATTCGTCCTTTGTAATTCGTCTGTAGGTAATATTATTGCCATATGAAAATGAAACTCAATTTTAATAGCAATTTGACAATAGGCAACTAAATGTCACATAATATCATTTGTATCTATCGAACAGGGGATTCATATTTAACTCAAACAACACACATATATGTGGATATACAATGTAAACCCAGTAGTGCAATTGTAATAGAAGACCTACGCCGTTAATAAGCCTCGGTTATAGCCGCGGAGTTCTCGGTATCTGGGCCACGAGGGATAGCACGGTCTGGTCGGAAACTTTGGCTCATTCCGGAGGATTTCTTCAAAAAGTTTTGGATCACTCACAGCGACCTGGGTCATGTCCAGTAGCTTCTCACAGTACATCTTGCCATATTTGGAGTGCTTTTCAACCTTAAGAAAGAAAGAACAAATATAAAATTGCTCACAGAGCAAACTGCGAACTAAAATACAATAGATCTAACAAATACGGTAATGTCTCAAACTTTTAACATGTGAGAAATGTGAATTTTAGAGATACTGTATTTAGTTAAAGTCCTAAATTCTTAAAATAAGAGCGCTCATATTGAGTAGTAACAGCGAAACAGAAAAACAGGATACTTATTAGTTCTATTCCATACAGAAAAAGTACCACAAATGCCTGAAAGAAATATATTTATAAAGGTTCTACAATTGTGTATTTGAATTATTGATATTTTTACCCATTGAAAAGATCTATTCATTGCCGTAGTGTCATGGCAAGAAGTGGCAATTTTTAAATGTCTTAAGAGTAATTAAATCTCTTTCAACTGACATTGTTCACACAATATAATGAAATTACATCCAAAATTTGAAAAATACAAAATTCTTTAAAAATAGTCAGTGGGTTTCCCATGTTAATTTTTCATGTACATAAAAACAATAAACATGATCCTTATGAACATGAATAGTCTTCATCCTGGACCTATTACCAATCTACAAAAACGTGTCTGAAACAAATATCTCTCACAATGTGGCCTCTATCGCAGGGAAAAAAATCACCACAAACGCACAAAAAACGAGCAGACCAATATACTTACGGAAATTTTTTCGCAAGTATAATAAATAAGAAAAAGAATAAAAAGGGTCAACGTTGCCTAGGTGAATTAATGTAATTGGTTTTCATACTTCTAGGCAACGCTATGCTGCAGGAGACGGTTTTGATGTAACCTACCAAATAGGACATGCAGGGTAAAAAGAATATAGTTATAGTTGAGAGGTGAGTTACTACATAAAAATGTGGTAAGCGAATCAGGATGCCAGCCTCGGGTTATTCACGTTATTCATAAAACGGCGAAATTAGTTTACCAGCGATTTTGCTGTCTGATTTATATAAGTCTGTATAGTACATAACTGCTAGTAAGCTGAATAGCAGATGTGAGGTGTGCAGTGAGGTGAGGGTCGTCTAACAAATTGCTCCGGGGCTTCAGCCTACTTAGTTATCAAAGTGAATTTATTCGCTTGACAGGTTGTTTTATAAAACCATATATTGTCTGAAAAATCTGTGTCTGTCGTCGCCTTTACATACTGGCAAGAGTGTGTGTGTGTGTGTGTGTGTGTGTGTGTGTGTGTGGTGTTTGAGGGGGCGCGCGAGTTTGTTTATTTTTGTGCACGTTTTTTGTCTTTGTTTGTGTGTAAATGTGTGTGTGTGCATGCGTGTGTGTGTGTGTGTGGGTGAGGGTGAAAGAGAGCGAGGAGGGGAGGGTTTACTAGAGACAAATAAGACATTCAATTATTGTCTTAAAAGGATAATAGCTCTTCGTTTTGGCAAAAAAATGAATTTTCCTGGAGTAAACAACAATTTTCCCATACTTACCAATGGTTAATGAATTCATTTTTACATTCAAAGTTAGTCCCTGGTTTTTTTTTCTAAAAAGTTTGTTTTTTGTTATAGTTAATCTCTTAAGAGATTATAACAGAGTATAGCCATCAGAGGAGGTCACGTGGTCTAAAGACAAGCTCAGATATCAGAGTAATAGCAATAACTGCTGTTTTTGTGGTAAAACAGAATATATTATATTTCTATGAGTTGTTCACAATGTTTTAGTGTGAAATATAGAACTCATACGAAGAGTAAGGCTTCGTTCACATGGAATGTCTATTTTCTAAAAATCTATTTTCTATTCGCGCTATCTTATGATCACGGTCTGTGCCCTGAATATCCCGCCGCGTAATTACTGGCAGCGCGAGGCAGTTACTTATAGTAACTTATAGTAAGTGGCTCGCGCTGCCAGTAATTACGCCGCGGGATATTCAGGGCACAGACCGTGATCATAAGACATACCGCGAATAGAAAATAGAATTTAAAAATAGACATTGCATGTGAATGAAGCCTTATTATCTCTTCAAGGCTCGTCTCATTCAGTAATAAAACCGTTTATATCCGACTTGTAATTTGTCACCAGCTACCGATTGTGTGTCGCGGTTTTATCATGACACTATTGGACTGAGATTCTCACCATGGGCAAAGCACAGTGCATTTACCTGAAGATAGACTGATTTCAACTTAAGCATTATCCGACTACTACAGCAGAACACCACAGCGCACCACCATTCACATCATTGTAGGACTAAAAAATACCTCCCGTACAAAAAAGTCGAAGCTCGAGGGAAAAGTACATTAACAAAGACATGAGTACTTTTAAAGTACTGCCAAGGCCTGACCTCTTTAAGCGCGCTGTCTGGCAGCCTTAAAGTATATATATATAAAGTACGAGACGCTGAGCTTCACTCAAAATTGAGTAGATAATTGACAAGGCGAAGCAGAGGCAATTATCTGCTTTATTTCGCGGAAAGCTCACCGCCGAGTGCTTTATCCCACTTAAAGCACGGTTCATTACCGGACGCTCTGAATGTGCAGATCCTATGAATGTTCGAGAGATCGGCGTGTTGAACAGCGCAAGAAGCACAGAACTTTCTTACTTTTATTTTTTAAAATAAAAAATATTCCATTTTCGTGCAAGGAATGACCATGACGGCCTTATGGTCGAGAAATATTACTTTTGAACTTGCGGGTCGCAGAAAATATTTGCAATTGTTGTAGGATTCGCAAAAATATTCCCTGAACAGTTGAAGTGCTTCACGGCTAATTATGTCGATACCGCAGACGAAAAATGTTAAGTTTTTGTAAAATGATCTTTTACATCATCCTTTCATAAAGCCACTTTTATAGGAGACCGATTGCTAGAATAGAGGGCATCATTTCCCCATCATTTCTTTCTATCACACACTCCCTCAATACAACCAAAATGTTTGTGGAGAAAAATTAAGGAACAAAGCACTAAGGTGACCTCCTATTCACACCTTTCTGACCTTAGCTTTGACAAAAAGCCTATCAAAATAAATAAATAAATAAGTATAAGTGGACTAGTAACCATTGCGTTATTTCTGTTTATTTTAATTTCTAAAAGTTTGTATCAAAACATGAAAAAAAGTTCAATTTTATTTTTTATTTTCATCATTTTTTTTTCTGTACAATCAGTGAAGTTTGTAAGTTGATTATTCAGGGCAGTCCAAAGTAACGGTGCATTACATCGTTAGTTGTGTCCCCTGATGCGTGGAACACATTCGTGGATGACGTGACTTTACAAGAAATAAACCACGGCGCGGTATATTGTCTTTCGACGGGAAAGTACTTTAATGAAGGAATAAATGATAAAAACTTTAAAAAGGTTGACTCCACATTTTTCATTATTGGGATTGTGTAATTATTTAGGGATGATCAGTCGTGTTATAAGTCAGTTACAACTACTCGTCGTCCACTGTATGCGTGGTACAAGAAGGCCTCGATAATTACACTCGTGTATGTCGCAGTGGACGATCTGAGCTGTAACTAGCATAAAGCACTAATCGGTTAGCTATATACGTAAAATAGAGCAGATAATTTTCTCGGCTTCGCCTTGCCAATTATTTCCTCTATGCGGCGTTAAAGTAAGCTCAGCGCTTCGTTCTCTACCCTGAAACCGCGCATAACATGAAAAACCGAAGTGCACCCGCCGAGCCAGTGAGCGTACAGACGCCTCGTCTAGTGCGACCTAGCCAACCAGATTCAATGTACTTTTAAATGTTTACTATGAGGTAATGGGGTCATGGAGTTCCACTGGTGTACTTTAAAGAAACGCGTATTTTTAAGATCCAGACATCATTTTAAATTCCGCTGCAAAATCGAAGGTGGTCATGTTTTTCGCTGTCATTAATTACGAAAAAATTGTGATATATTCGAAACAGAAATAATGTGGATATTCTCAACGTGATTCGTATAAATTTCCCAGGGGAACAAGACGTGGTAGAAAACAGGAGACGGCTCTTACTCACGAGGAGATGGAGAGATGTTTTCTCCAGAGTCCAGCAGAGAAGCAAGGACTCACGCTGCACGGTCACATGTAAGTACAGGCTGCGCAGTGTGGTCCGTGCGCGAGTGGATTAAATATAGAAAATACGGACATATCACCCTACCAGTTCGTTTTGAAGTAAGGACCATTAATCAAAGTCAAGTGGTGGTACTTTTATGAGGGCGTGATTCCATATTCTAGAAGGCATGGGGGGAGGGGGTGACTGTACCACCCCCGTCTCCCCCAACCACCCATTCTTCACTGAGACCTGTTCGGAGTACATCTGACGGATTAACAGCGCAGAATTTAACTGTTGTATCGAGGTGATCCTTTACAATTAAAAATGGCTAAAACCTATCGCATGGGAATGGAATTCATAATGAAAGGATAACGGCTTTTATCTTCCTCCTCTCCCGAAGAAAATGATTGCACCTTTAATAGCGTTGATTATTTGGTGCCCTGTGCCAAGAAACGACATTCACGGTAAGTACGTAAATGTTTTAATGAAAAGCCAAGTACTCCTTTGAAGACGGTTGTATTTTAGATAGTTTGGAGGTCAATGAGTTGGTTAATATTCTTTGTCATTTTTTTCACATATGTTATTCAGTCGTATAAAGAACTTTTTAAGGTTGCAGTGAATGGCGCACGGCAAGGGAAAAAAGAACAATCATAGCAATTAATGAAAACCAATATCATCACAATGCTCAAACCTTATTTTGTTTTCTCACAAAATACATATTCTTACTAATACTTTCCTCCCGTAGGCACAACAAAAACGCAACTTAACTGCATCCTTCGCGTTTTTACTCGAACAGACGCGCAGAGGCATTAATGTCAATTTTGTGTTCACTTCCTAATTATAGGTACGTTGCTATAGGAACGATGATATTTACTGTCTCTATCTATATATCAACTTAACCGGTTGTTGTGTTAAATGTAATAATAAATACTATAGCTTCTCAGAACTATATTTATTTTTATTTTAGGATTGTTGTTATTATAATTGTCTTTTCCTTTGCTGGGCAATATAACTTACTGTCGTTA